CCCATTTAACCCAGCAATTCTAGTACTGGGCATATACCCAAAGGAATATAAATTATTCTACCACAAAGACACATGCATGCATACGTTCGTTGCACCACTATTCACAATAGCAAAGACATGGAATCACCCTAAATGTCCACCGACATTAGACTGGATAAAGAAAGTGTGGCACATGTACACAATGGAATACTACACAGCCACAAAAAACAAACAGATCATGTCCTTTGCACCAACATGAATGGAGCTGGATGCCATTATCCTAAGCAACTTAATTCAAGAATAGAAAACCCAATGCCACATGTTGTTACTTATAAATGGAGCTAAACAATGAGAACACATGGACCCAAAGAGGAGAACAACAGACACTGCGGCCTACTTGAAGAAAGACGATGGGAAGAGGGAGAGGATTAAAAAACAAGTCTTAGTGGGTATCAGGCTTAATACTTGGGTGATGAAATAATCTGTCCACCAAACCCCTGTGACATGCAGTTTACCTATATAACAAACCTGCACATGTACCTCTAAACCTTACAGTCAATATTCAAATCCAGGCTTAATGAACTCTAAAACTGAAGTATTTCATGGTCATATATTGCTTCCAGAGTCAGAATGTAGATGTCAAAATTTCTGAAATATTTTTCTATATATTTAAAGTTAGACATTGTTATGGCTTGAGTTTGTTTCCATAATTCAGGTTCTGCAAGGCTTCTCTTGAGAAATTAGGTAACTGTGACTCACTATCTCATTCTTTGTCTTTAACTGCCATGTTAAGGCCTATGGATCAGATGCCTATATCTTCAGTGAATGGGCAGGCAACTTGAAGCTAAGGTAAAAGGAAAACTGAATCACTATCCTCCAACCTAGTATATTACCGATTACCAAGCGGCACTCGGACCAGCCTTCCTTCTGCATCCCTAATACATGCGTACCAGTTGAAGACAGGACTCCTATGTAAGGAGTTCTCATTTTTTCATTTTGTTTTGTTACTGCTTTTGTTCTTATTGACTGGTTCATTCCAATAATTCATATTTCTCTGTACACTTTCTAAAATTGCTATTTGTGGATGGTGATATCAATCTAGTCTCTTTGCCATCTTACTTCAGGTGGTTAGATGAATCCCATTCCTAGTCATTATCAGCTCCGATCCATTTGTTCTCTGCTACAACATTTAAAGACAATCCGTTTTCTGACGCATAATGGCTTAGACATAATGGAGCGACAGTTTCTAAGTTATCTTGTCTAAATACATAATACAGCCATTTCTACATTCATAGGAATTATTCTGCTATACATAAAATCCCTTAGATACAATAACTTTAGAAAGAGACACGTATCTCCATGGCCACCTACATCTAAATGCACCATGGACCTTTTCTGCTTTGGTGACCCACTCAAAGGTTGTCTCACCACTCAATCTATGATTCACCAGCTGAGCAGGAAAGACTTGCCCTTTTACTCGTTTTGTGTATGAAATAGGTTCATTATGCTTTGGGATCTAAACTCCGAAGAAGACAGAAGCATGACCATCTGTCATGACTCATCTAAAGCATAGATAGCAGAATGGCATGAGTCATGATCAGGGATGGTAGTAGGGAGAAATTACTATGAGGAAAATAATCAACAACTATTTAAATTAATATCCAAGCAAAGCTAAGATCTTAGGCATCCAAATTCTGCTACTGTAATGAAAATGTTTTTATTTGTATTTTATTTTGTATATTTAATTTTTAATGATTTAGGGGGTACAAGTGCAGCTGTGTTATATGGCTAAATAGCACAGTGATGAAGTTGGGACTTTTAGTGTATCCATCACCTGGATAGTGTATGTGGTACCCATTAGATAATCTCTCATCCCTCACCCTACTCCCACGCTTCCATCTTTCTGAGTCTCCAGTGTCGATTATCACACCACCTCTATGTCCAATATCACTTCTTGGCCTTTCCACTGAGATAACTGTAATATCTGATCTTATCAGTTTTGACTTATTTTGAAGAGATACTTGTTCAATCCACTTTTATCAATGAGATTAGACTACTAACTTTGATAGAAGGGAATAGAGACTAGTTTATTTAATATTCTTCCCATACCTCCTCAGTGAGATTTTCTACAACTGGGTCAACATAAAGCATAAAATATCTGTGAATAGAGCAAACACACAAACCCTGCATATACTATAACAATGAAAATAATAATGATATTTCTTCTTATTGAGCATTTACTGGATTCTAAAGTAAAGCTATGTTTATTACAAAATTTATAGCATATATTCTTTATTGTATATCCATGAAGATGCAACATATATCCCATTTCACATATGAGAATCATGAGGTTCAAAGCAGTTAGAAATCTCTCCGAAGTTAATAAAGATAATTAGTGTTAGATGCAAGATTCATATTCAACTTAGTCAATTAAAAAGTTTTTGTAGTTTAGGGAGTATGTTTCTTCCAGTGTGAGAGTAAATATTAAAATATCTGTAATGTATCAGTAAGCATTTCAAATAGTGTTGAATTTTACATTTGGTTTTATAATACAGACTCTTGAAGCTTCTAAAACAGGATGAGGTACACAAGATGACTAGGGTTTGTTGTCCTCACTAGGAAACCACCATAAGCAAACAGATCTTTCAGCACTTTTCTTCCATCTCCTTAAGGACAAAAGAAAAATGCTATGGAAATCTACAAGTAGAAATAAATGAGAGCGATTTGATATTGGAAGTAGAATGTCCTTAAGTGCTTCCCTTAGTGACATTAGAGAGAGTCACGTATGATTTTCTGGACACCCACTATCCTTACATTAACAAGGTATAAAAAAAGACAGTTACTGGGAATGCCCTAGTGAAATCTGGAATGGTTCTGACTACTGTTGGGAATCCTGAAGGATTTTGGATACCTGATGCATATCATTGGATAACCAGAACCCTGACTGGAACTGTGCTTTCAGAGAGTGCTGATAGCAAAATGAAGATCAGTATGCCCAAACAACCGACAGCTGAGTTTTCTGGGTCCTGAAGTGCAAATTACGGGAATCCTTTGCGTATTTGCCTGATGAAAATGGCTTCCATCCATTTGGCTAACATTGTTCTGAAACTTCTACCCTTATAACCTAGAAGGTTGTTTAACAAAAATAACTCCAGCAGAGGTGCTTGACCAAGTTAGCCTAGACGAGTTTTCACTAGAAACAGAGCCAAGGCCCAATCACACACCTATAGAATTTCAGTCAATAAAATGAAGGATGAATGCCATTTGTGAATGTGCAGGTGAAGAGGTTAGGATATCTAAAATTATGCTGTTTTCCAGAGAAAATGCAAGAGGGATGACAATGTAAAAAGAAGAAAAGAAAAAAATAAATTTAAAAAAGCAAAACAGATAGATGATGACATAGATATAGATGATATAGATAGATACAGATATAGAGGCACATACATAATCAGGCTTTATCTCACAGTGAAACCATTAATCAGAAAAGTCAGTCTTTTCCTCAGAACACAGGTGCCAGAATCACCCGAACATATGACTCCAATAAGATAGTATCCTCTCAAAAGTGGATAGTCTGCATAGGTAAGCTTCAGGCGTCAGAGAACCTCCAACTCTGAACCATCCTCAGATGTCACAGAAAATGTCACAAACCCCACCTGGTAGTTCTTTAACCAAAGTACCAGCTTCTTGTTGCCATTCTTTGTGCCTCCCTTTGTTATAATTAAAGGGATAATCAGTATCTTGACAGAGCTTTTCAATCAATATCTGACTAAATACAGTTTTTTATTTTACTGTATTTCTCATTCATCTATTAAGTATGTAAGCAGAGATGCTACTAGATTCTCAGATTTTTATGATTTATAAGGGATACATTAATAAAATCATTCCTGACCTAAAGACATTATTGTGATTTATGGTCCAGATATAGAGTGGAGGAGAGTATACAAAGATGAAGAAATACAAGAATGTGTTCCTCTCTTACATTGTATTGTTCATTCACAGCTTTCTCCCTTTGCTTCAGAACCATAACTCACAGTTTATTTTCAACATTCTTACTCTTTCCTATATGCGTTGTTTCATATACGGTACCCGCTTTGTCTGGAATCTTTTTCTCCTATTCCTTCCCTGGCCCTTATATATTTCTGGGCCAGCCTAAAACTGTCCTCAAGCAAGACCTCCTGATAACCCCAACCAAACATAAGACAGATCATCTCTTTGTGTCCTTCACGTGTCCATTTATTTCCTTTATAATACTTGTCACCACAGTAATTATAGTATATTTTCAACCCTGTAAGTAATTGAGATTACATATACTACCTGCTCAGGTAAGTAAAAATAAGGGTCCATGAATGAGTTTATATCTGTGTGTATCAAATCCTATTCCACACTACATTTTACTTACCAGTAAGTTGGACTGTGTAATCACCTGCCTCTGTGCTACAGCACCCTCTATCAGCAGTGAACAAGAAGTCAACTTACAGAAAGAAAAGGGGAGTATTAAGTCATTATTCTCTCATTTAGTTTTTTGCCCAGGCCCCAAGATTCACACTGACACAGCCTACAGCCTCAATGACTCCCCCACACCTATGAGTTGAAGACAGACTTATTCTTTACAGGAGTTTGCTATATGTGATTGGATTTTTCTTTATTATTTTGTTATCGTTACCCAAAGTTCATATTTTCCTGAAGAGTGTCTACAGATTTTATCTGGTGGATCAGTAAGCAGGCAGTGTGTTTTTCTCATCTTGGCAGAAGTAGCCTTAAACAGACCCCATGCCTAATCATTGCCAGCTCAGATCCATTTTCTCTTATACTATAATGCTAGTTTCTGTGTATGCTGAAATGTGGGTTAAGAAAACTAAATGTATGCCAGCATCCAGAGAGATTAGCAGAGAGAAGATGCTATAAAAAGGGATTTTGACACACACACACACATCCAACTTATATAGGAAACTATTAAGCAGAAAAAACAGTTCTTTCTGTCATAAAGTGAAAGACTAAAGTACCCAAATTTATGACTCCAGAAGGATGAAGCCCGCCCAGGAGCACAGTCACCGCCTGCAAACTTTAGAATCATCTCACCAACTGCGGCCCCTCCTGTTTCTTCTGATACTTTCACCAACCGCCATCCAGCAGTTCCTTAAATAAGGTACCACCTTTCTATTTCCATTCCTGTACCTCTAAAATATAATTGTAGGGGTAATCAGAGTCTTCAGAGGGATTCTCATTTAAACTCTGACTATATATTATTTCATTATTTTACTACATTTCTCATTCATTTGTCAGTATATAATTGGACATGCCACTGGATTCTAAGTCTTTCAATACTCACAAAACATGCATTCATGAAATCAATTCTGTCTTCAAGAAGATTACTGTTTTTCATTGGTGCAAATATAGTGTATGTGGGGAGGTATCCAGACAAGGAGAAATGAATACAACAGTATGTTCGTACCTTCCATTCCAGTTTCCTTTCACAATTTTCCACTATGACTAATGACCATAACTTAGGATTGATATTCAAAATCCCTATTTCTTTACATAGCTAGTGTCTTGACATATGCTGCTTCCTTTGTTTAGAATCCCTTACTCTCATCTCTTCATTTGCCCCAATATATTTCTGGGCCAACCAAAATCCCCCTTCCTCAGAAAAACACTGCACTGATACCCTCCTCCTGCCATAGAACACATCATGCCAAGGTGTCCTGAATATTTCTCTTTATTTTATTTGGAACATTTATTAAAATTCTAATAATAGAGTGTTCTTCAACCATACTTGATAATAAGTACAGCTCGTAGATTTCTTGTCCAGGAGAACATCAGACAAAGGTGAACTAATGAATTTATATCTAAGTGTTCCAATGAAATCCCAGCCTGCTTTTGGCCATGATAGGACCAGTGGAGTCACCTCCACCTAGGGAACGGAAGACTGTGATCTACAGTGAGAAGGAAGGTGATGAAAGAGAAAGGCAAGAGGAGAATCACGTCACCACTCTTTTAGTTGAAGACATGTCACCATACAGACTAGTTGAAGACAGATAACCTATATACAGGGGTTCTCAATTTGTGGTAGTTTTTTGTTTGTTTATGTTTTTGTTGTTTTTGATAAGCCCAAGAATCATATTTTCCTCAATAAATTATACATAATTTATTTGAGAGTCAAAGCTAGCATGTCTTCTTTAGCCATCTTGGCTTAGGTGACCATGGATGGAACTCATATGTAGTCCTTACCAGCTCAGACCCACTTTTCTGTTACTTCATGGACATAATTGGACATCCCAGGACAACATTCTGGAAAAGAACTTATTTCTCCTACATTTTGGCTTTGAAGGGACTACACAAAGTTTGCCTACATTCTACCATTTTAAATATGCATTACGGTCTGTTTCTATAGCCATTAGATTTATTTGACTGTATCTAAACCTCCCGTAGCCCAGGAATCCCAGTTAGGGTCCTATGTCTCCTACACCTAACCACCCATCTAGCCATTTCTTCTTTGATATCTAGCACTTCCACAGGAGGCCTGGAAAATACATCTGATTACTTCCTCTGTGTTTCACTAGTTCTGAAAGAAGTCCTTGCTTTTATATATCATAAGTCACCCCAAAGTGATTGTTTGCATTATTAATTAATTACTAATGATTCATTTGTATAAATTTTTCTATGCTTTTGGATTTAAAGTCAAAAGCAGACCATTCTTATTTTTCATCTTTTGTCATGAGTCTCCTAAATCAAAGAATCCAAAATGGTTGGGAAAACAAATGGAGATATTACTGGCTCAGAATTACTGTATGGGAAAAAAAGACGCTTTTAGTTTTATCCCGAATCACTACAACTTTATCTGGGGTTTCCACAAGAGGGTCAACATAAATCATAATTCTCTTCTGGATCAGACTGACACACAAAACTTGCAGAGTCTTTGAAATAGCAATGAAAATATGATTTTTCTAACTGGGCATCTACTGGGTAAAGCTGGAAGTAAAAGTTATGTTTTTATGTATATGATTGCATTTATTCTTCAATACATCTCTATGAGCACAGTAGGAAGCCCATGTTCCAGGGAAAAAATGTGTTCTGCTCTAGACAAGTTAAGTTTGAGATTCCCACAGGACATCTAAGAATTATCCATCTGATATATAGAGCTTGAACTTGGATAATTTTGGCTGGGCCTTTTATGAATTACGTCAGTATAGACATAGTTGTTAAAACAGTGGATGTGACTGAAAGTACTTAATAGAATAGAAATAATGATGCCTCTCATTTACTGAGTGTGCTGAATGACTCAGACTATTCTAAGGGTTTTTCAATAATTATCTTCATTAATCCTTTATAATCCAATTGTTTCATGTATTAACTCATTTAATTCTTTGTGGTACACAAAGAACAGAAGAGGGAGTTAAATTTGAGGGTAGTCAACATAGCTCATAACAGTCCTAAATTACCAAGGATGTCCCTGAGCAAATCAGAACACAAAGCTAGCTGTCTTTAGTGAGAAACATCTCTGTGTAGACGGAGATGGTTGGATCTACATGACAAAGTTTATGCTGTTTGTCACATACAATCATGTGGGATTCCTGGAAAAAATAAAGGCTAATATTGGAATGCAAAAAGATCAGAACAAAGGCTAACACATTCAGACACACAAAAACGCAAAGGCTTTCTGATTGTTCCAGTTCTCAGGGCCATTTGTCAAAAGTCCCAAGCCTTCCTTGACACAGTTGCACCAGGAATACATTTTGTACGCTCCTCCTACCTTTCTGCCCAATGAGAAGTTTTCCTTTAGCCCTTGTCATTGGACACACCAGCTCCTTTCTCTATCCTGTTGTTCCCTGACATCTCCTGCCCTTTCACTTGGGCTCATGCTGGGTAGGAGTGAATATTGCATTTCATGGCCCCAACAGAGGGGGAAGATGTGACTCCAACGACAGGAATTCATTAAAGGAGATAGGTGAGAATGAAAAAAGAGTCCTTCAGATGGAAATAGAAGAAGAGATGTGGCTCACAGGGAGGAGAGGCAGTGTGATTGAAGAAAGAAATGTATGACCACCTGCATCTCAACTGGTTTATTTTTGTCTCTTTATGCTTCAAGGTCACCAAGGACAAGGATATCAAACAAATACCGTTCAATCTTTATTCCAGTGTGGAAATTTTGCCTGAAGTCCTCCACCTAAAAACCTGATGCCACTGGTAATGATGTTTATGAAGATAAGATTGAAGCACAGAAAATAATATATGTATATATATATCTGGTTGAAATAATATATATATATATATATATATACACACCAGCTATTAATTCTAGGAAATGGAGTATTAAGGGTGCATTTTATTTCATTAGTTTTACTTTTATGCATTTTCTTCATATCATATTTTGCATTCAGAGTTTTCATAATTTGAAAAAAAATAAATTTTTTCTTTATAAAAGAATGCTTCCATAGGAGTTCTTTAATCTATCTGTGAGTTATTTAAAAGTAAATAAAGTGTGGCCTGCAAGTCAGGGTGGGGCACACAGATTTATAGTTTGGATGGGATCTTTAAGGAATAGGCCCTGGTCAAGACTGAACTGACTGTGCCCTGCCCAAAGAAACCAGACCAAGGGGGCAGGTAAGGGTGAAATCCAGCCTATGATTCTGTTGCAACCACTGTGTCCTGGGAAGGAGTTGCTCTAGCCAAAACTAGAGATATCTTTTCAGAATTGGACTCCTGGAGGGGGAATAATTGGGTAATTTGCTTGCCAAACCAGGCACCTTCTGGTGATGTGCGTGAAGGCACTTGCCTATGTTAAAGGAAATCCTGGCCCTGTTTGATGTAAATTACCTGGTTCTGTACATTTCCTTCAGCACCAACAGCTCCTCAGGAGCTCTCCAACCATATTTCCTCTTCTCACGTTGCATTGTATGAATCCATCAGAAAGTTGCCCCAGGCAGACAGTTAACTCAGGCAAACTGAAGAATAATTAATTTATTTTAGAGTAGAATGGCAGAAAGTCGGTATCTAAAACTTACAATGTATTTATAGATCATATATTTGGTACCTGCTATAATTATTTTGTGTCACTTAATCTTCACAGTAGCTCTAGACGGTTGACAGTTTTCTCCTTTTTACTCTCCATATATAAAGAAAAAAAGGGCACAGAAAGCAAATTTACTTTCCAAGTGTCACTTAGGTGGTCTTATATAGTCCTGATTTAACATCCAGGCCTGTTGTTCTGGCTTGGATTAGGTGTGCTAATGTTAGGAGAACAGGGATAAGATGCAAATTAAACAATGAATAAGACGGATTCCACCTAAGATGGAGAAAGCTGAAAAGAGCCTCACTCTCACCCTTATAATTATGAAAAAGTAGATAATTGCAAAATCACAATCTTCTGTACTCATCAGAGAACTGTGGTGGTCTGAAGCTATATATGCCCAGTTAATCTAAGGAAAAGAGGCATTAAAGTTCTGCCTTTATGGTTTGGGCCAACAATCCAAGGAATAAATATAGTTGTTTTTTTTTCCCCTCTTGCCCTGCACCTTTCTGATTATGTCTTTTATGAGACATAAAGGTAAGAAGGTATGATAGATTCAGATACCATGAATAAGTTCTTTTAGACATTCTTTGTTGCCAAATATCATTGCGAATGTTCATATATGTGTGTGTGTGTATGAGATAATTTGATTCATTTGGGAAAATCAAATTTTGAAGGATGTTTTGAAGCCACTGAATTGTTTCCTCATGTGCAGTGAAAAAACTGAAATTCAGAGATTGAGTGAAGTGGTCAAAATCACATCATTCAGCTAGTTAGGAAACAGATTTCATCTTGAGAAGATGTCACAAACTGCTAAAACATCCTCCAAATTCAAATTTGACTTATGGACACTGAACAAATAACTGCTTTATATACAAATGATATTGGTATTCTGAGCTACTCAAATACATAATATTCATATTACTTTATGTAAACTAGGTATAATTGACCACTCTTGAGTATGTAGATGATGGTAATTAAGAGTTAGAGAATGAGTCATTTAGGTGCTTTGTCTAATGTGTTTGCTGATTTCTCCCTGAAATTGTAACTTCTAAGGACAGTCATGTCTGTAAATGAGGTAAGAAAGGAATTATCTTCCACCCAAAAGAATTAGCCTGTTCACTGTGTTTTAATTTAAACAACTTCAACCTCTAATGCCTTGACCCCACTCTATCTTATATTTTTATATCTTACCACACATCAGAGCTCCTACTTGGGACCACAAGTGAGAATCTGGGGCTTCCCCTAACTTTGAAATGTGTGAGCCAAAGAGAAAGACAGAACAGCTCACAGAGATCTAATCTACCCTCATAGACAGTTTAGAGATCAGTTTGTACCAAGTGGTTCTCTGCAAGAGGCAGAGAAATAGCTCTGAGAGGATCTCTAGTGTATTATTAGCAAATGATTGTGATTGGAAGAGGCAAACCCAACACTGTCGGCAATATTGTTTCTCTAAAACCACATAGTGAGGTATGTATTAGAATTTTATTATGATAAGAACACCTGAGATCAACCACTTAACAAATTTCAAGTTTACAATACAGGGTTAGCAACTACAAGCACAGTGTTGTGCAGCAGATCTGCAGAGCTTATTCATCTGGCATATCTGAAATTGTATGTCCATCGAATAGCAGCTTCCATTTCCCCCTTCCTCCAGCCCCAGCCAACCACCATTTTATATTCTGCTCCTATAAGTTTGGCTATTATAGATACTTTACATAAGTGGACTCACGCAGTATTTATTCTCTTATGACTGGCTTATTACACTTAGCATAATGCCCTCAAGGTTCATTCATGCTGTAACTATGCAGAATTTCTTTCTTTAAGAAAGAATAACATTCCTTATCTATATACCTTATACCACATTTTCTTATCTATTCACTCAAAACTGGGACATTTAGGTAGTTTTCACAGCTTGTGTATTTTGAATAATACTGTAATACACATGGGAGCACTGGTAATATCTCTTCAACTTCCTATTTTAATTATTTTGCATAAATACCAAGAAGAGGAAATCTTGGGTCATATGGTATTCATATTTTTTCTTCCAACTTTTGTTTTAGATTCAGGGGCTACACGTGCAGGTTTGTTACATCAATAAGTTGCATGTCGGCTGGGATTGGCATACAAATGATTTTGTCACCCAGATAGTGAGCACAGTACCTGATAGGTAGTTTTTCAGTCTTCACCCTCCTCTCACTCTCCACCTTTAAGTAAACCACCAGGGTCTATTGTGCTTCTTTTTGTGTCCTTGCGTACTCAGTGTTTAGCTCCTACTTATTAGTGAGAACAAGTGGTATTTGGTTTTCTGTTCCTGTGTTATTTTGCTTCAGATAATGCCTTGCAGATGCATCTGGGTTCCTGCAAAGGACATGATTTTTTTTTTTTAATGGCTCTGTAGTGTACCATGTTGTATATGTACCGCATTTTATTTATTTAAACCACTGTTAATGGCCATCTAGATTGATTCCATGTCATTACTATTATGAAAAGTGCAATAACCATACACATGCACTTTGGGAGGCTGATGCGAGTGGATCATCTGAAGTTAGGAGTTCGAGACCAGCCTGGCCAACATGGTGAAACCCCATCTCTACTAAAAACACAAAACCTTAGCCTTTTGTGGTGGCGGGCACCTGTAGTCCCAGCTACTTGGGAGGCTGGGGCAGGAGAATCGCTTGAAACCAGGAGGCAGAGGTTGCAGTGAGCCAAGATCACGCCATTGCATTCCAGCCTGGGGGACAAGAGCGAGACTCTAAACCAACCAAACAAACAAACAAAAAACCATATTCATGCATGTATCTTTTAGTAGAACAATTTATATTCCTTTGGGTATATACCAGTAATGGGATTACTGGGTCAAATATTAGTTCTGTTTTAAGTTATTTGAGAAATCTCCAAACTGCTTTCAACAGTGGCTGAAGTATTCAGCAAATAGCATCAGGATCACTGGCTAGCTGTATGCAGAAAATTAAAACTGGACCCCTTCCTTTCACCATATAAAAAAAGATAGCATATAATTGGCATTTCCACCAGCAATGTATAAATGTTCCCTTTTCTCTACAACCTCACCAGCATCAGTTATTTTTTGACTTTTTAATAACAGCTATTCTGACTGGCGTGAGTTGGTATCTCCCTGTGGTTTTGATTTGCATTTCTCTATTGATTAGTGATATTGAGCATTTTTCACATGCTTGTTAGTTGCATGGATCTTCTTTTGAGAAAGATCTATTCATGGCTTTTGACCATTTTTAATGAAGTTGTGTGGTTTCTGCTTGTTGATTTGTTTAAGTTCCTGATGGAGTCTAGATATTATACCTTTCTCAGAATCATAGTTTGCAAATACTTTCTCCCATTCTGTAGGCTCTTTTCTTTCTGTTGATAGTCTAATTTGCTGTACAGAAGGTCTTTAATTAGATCTCACTTGTCAATTTTTTTGTTTTTATTGTTACATTTGCTTTTGGAGTCTTTGTCATGAAGTCTTTGCCAAGACCAATGTCCAGAATAGTGTTTCCTAGGTTTCTTCTAGGGCATTTATAGTTGTAGGTTTTACATATATCAGTTTTTTTTAACTTTATATTGAGTAGATTTTTTATATGGTGAAAGGAAGGGTTCTAGTTTTAATTTTCTGTATATAACTAGCCAGTTATCCTGACACTATTTCTTGAATAGGAAGTCCTGTTTCCATTACTTGTTATTGTCAACTTCATTGAAGATCCAATGGTTGTAGGTGTGCAGGTTTATTTCTGGGTTCTCTAACCTGTTCCATTGGTCTATGTATCTGTTTTGTTCTAGCACCATGCTGCTTTGGTGACTGTAACTTAGTAGTATAGCTTGAATTTGGATAGTGTAATGCCTCCAGCTTTGTTGTTTCTGCATAGTATTATTTTGATTATTTGGAATATTTTTTGGGTTCCATATAAAGTTTAGAATAGTTTTTCTAATTCTGTGAAAAATGACATTGGTAGTTTGCTCAGAATATCACTGAATCTATAAATTGCTCTGGAGAATATAGTCATTTTAACAATATCGATTAGAATGGAACAATATCCATGAGAATGGAATGTCTTTCCATTTGTTTGTATCATCTCTGATTTCTTTTAGTAGCATTTTGTAACTCTTGTTGTAGACATCTTTTACCTCCCAGGTTAGCCGTATTCCTAGGTGTTTTATTCTTTGTATGGCTATTGTGAAAGGAACTGTGTTCTTGGTTTGGCTCTCAACTTGGGTATTATTGGTTGTATAGAAATGCTAGTAATTTTGGTACATTGATATTGTATCCTGAAACTTTGCTGAAGTTGTTTATAATTTCTGGGAAATTTGGGGCAAAGGCTATGGGGTTTTCTAGGTATAGAATCATATTATCTGCAAAAGGAGGTAGTTTGACATCCTCCCTTTCTATTTGAAT